AAAAAAAAAAAGAGGAGGATTGGCAGATGTTAGCTCAGGGCTGATCTCCTCACAAAAAAAAAAGACTGAAAATTGTGTATGCTTGACTTAAGAAATTGCTCCTAAATAACTACAGAGTCAAAAAAGAAACCAAAATGGGAATTTAAACAGAACTAGAGGGCCGGCCTGGTGGCTTGGCGGTTGGGTGCGCGCACTCCGCTGCTGGCGGCCCGGGTTCGGATCCCAGGCGCACGCCGATGCACCGCTTCTCCGGCCATGCTGAGGCCGCCTCCCACATGCAGCGACTGGAGGGATGTGCAGCTATGGCATGCGGCTGTCTGCTGGGACTTTGTGGGGAAAATAAATAAATAAATAAAATCTTTAAAAAAAAACAACAACAACTAGAAATGAATGATAATTAAAACATTTGTACCACCTTTCAAAATTTATGAGACGCAGTGAAAATGGCACTTGAAGGGAAACTTATGGCATTAAATGTTTATATTAGAAAAAAAGAAAGGCTGATTAATGAGCTAAGTGTCCAGCTTAAGAAGTTCTAAAAAGAACAGAACATTGATACACCATACTAACAAAATCATATAATCATCTCAATAGAAGCATAAAAAGCATTTGACAAAATTCAACATTCATTTATGATAAAAAACTCAACAAAGTGGATATAGAGGGAACATACCTCAATATAATAAAAGCCATAAATGACAAGCCCACAGCTAACATATATTCAACAGTGAAAAGCTGAAAGCTTTTCCTCTAAGATCAGGAACAAGACAAGGATTCCCACTCTCATCACTCTTATTCAACATAGTACTGGAAGTCCTAGCCAGAGCAATTAGGCAAGAAAAAGAAATAAAAGGCAATCAAATCAGAAAAGAAGAAGTAAAACTGTCACTATTTGCAGATGACATGATATTACATATAGAAAACCCTAAAGACTCCACCAAAGAAACTGTTAGAACTAATAAAGGAATTTTTAAAGTTGCAGGATACAAAATCAATATACAAAAATGTGTTGCACTTCTATAAACTAATAACAAACTATCAGAAAGAGAAATTAAGAAAACAATCCCATTTATAATTGCTTCTGAGAGAGAATACCTAGGAATAAATTTAACCAAGGAGGTGAAAGACCTGTACACTAAAAACTATAAGACATTGATGAAAGAAATTGAAAACGATACAAATAAATGGAAAGATATTCTGTGCTCATGGATTGGAAGAATTCATATTGTTAAAATGTGCATACTACCCAAATTGATCTACAGATTCAATGCCATCTCTATCAAAGTTCCAATGAAATTTTCATAGAAATAGAACAAACAATCCTAAAATTTCTATGGAACCACAAAAGACCCTCAATAGCCAAAGTAATCTTGAGAAAGAAGAACAAAGTTTGAGGTATCATACTCCCCAATTTCAAACTATATTACAAAGCTATAGTAATCAAAATAGTATGGTACTGGCTTAAACACAGACACATATATCAATGGAACAGAACAGAGAGCCCAGAAATAAATTCATACATATAGAGTCAATTAATTTATGTCAAAGGAGCCAAGAATATAC